AATGTTATGCCCAGTAGACGATAAATATCATCATATAATGATGAAGCAAAGCCAATATTTAAAGCTGATTGAAAATCATGTATGGTCATTGTATATCTGAAAAAAAATAAAATCACATAAAAAAAAATCAATACTTTGTGACTAAACCAAAAAACGAAAAAAAATCGATCGTTGATTACAATTTTAAAACTTTTCCTATGAGAGTCATAGAGATTAGTGTTTTTACACAGAATGAAATCGTTAATCAATCAATCATTGTTAGATCACCATTATAAACTTGGAAGCACTGGACGGCCGTTTCGTCCTGGTTTAGGACTCATCAGCAGTAGGCATTTACGACTCCTGCAACTCACAGGAACCAAGGATTTTCGGTCTTGCGCATGAACGCTGAACCTCTGGACCACTGGGCCGGCATTCAGTGCTGTTAGTGTCTAACTCTGATCAATCTAGAGATTTGGCGCGACTTCACCCATTTTTCGTCGATAGTTACTGCCTACACCCGACAGGGTTGAACTCCACTGGTCACGTCTTCTCACTAGAACTTCGAGAATTCCCTCAAGAGGGAAGCCAGTTTTTAGTGAGTACTATTGTTTCAATTAGGGTTATGAAGACTAGTGTTTTCACACATTCAAATCTTCAAACAATCAGTCATTGTTAGACTAGAACCAGGTTACCAGTTTTATCAAACAAATTTTAGTGCACTGAGTAAAATTTGAGTAAGGGCTCATCAATTTTAGTGACCCTTGATCTGACTTCGATTTGGACAAATAATAGAGTAGACAACGAAATAAATCTTCCCTGTAATTTCCGTATATCGTTCTTAGGCGAACCCTCGTTTGTGTTATAAGAAGCCAAATACCCATCAAGTTGGATCAATTTTGTTGGCACAATCATTCACACAGACAGACATAAAGATAAAAAGCGTACAAGCAAAGCAAAGCGAAGTGGAGTAGGCGAACGAGCTAACTCATTGTGATGAGGTATGACTAAGTGTTTGAAGTCAGACAAAAATAAACTAGACATGTGACAAGCGAAGTAAACAATGCACACATCCATTCGAATAAAAACAGCCAAGGTTATGAGCGAATAATTGGCAAGGTCGAAAGATGTGTGAATAACTCCAGAAGAATTGATTAGTTTTTGTCTAAGGGCTGGGACAAGCCCTGCATGGTCAACATACTTATACACCACAAGACCGTTAGTATATTTATGGAATGACACGAAATATTTATGTTAATTTTTTTTAGATTATAAGTGATTTTTCGATGGATTTCCTTAAACCTTTGAGATACTTCTGTTTTAGTTTTTAACCTTTGTTTCACTACTTGATTAACTAGTCCGATTGTAGGTATAAGTAATTTTATGGTGGAGTTTGACTATTTCAAGTTATCATCAATTAAAACCCCAACAGTGAGAAACAAGGAATACCATGGAAATGCTGTTTCATAATACCTAACACTGGTAATTAATTCACAAACATGTTAGTTCGTCCACATTTCTTCAAAATATATTGTCATTTGAATGTAATTCAAGGAGAGTTTCGCCTTTTAGAGAATTTTCATTTGGATATAAGTAGATGCATGTTGATTTTTTCAGCGAGACTTGTTGTTTCAAGACAATGAACGTGGCTACTGAGTCTCTAAACGATTTTGGCTACTTATTAGACTGTTTATGTTTTTTTAAGTAAAAAAACATCATGTGCAGTCCTCAGTATGGAATTGTGGAGATTGTTGACTTTCATTGAAATTATAAACTATGACTGTAAGAATATCATTGAAATCTTTAGAGCACCGAACTGTTTCGCCCTGGTGTGGGACTCATCAACAGTGCTTATCCACTAACTTGCGAGTGAAGAATCGAACACAGGATTTTCGGTCTCTCGCGCCAACGCCTAACCTCTTGACAGATATGAGGCAGTTATCTACCGGAAACAATGGATGGTGGTCGAAAAATACCGTGTATTAATTTGAGTTAGATACTAATACTGTTGGATGCCGCCTCCATTGTCTAGAGGTTAAGCGTTTATCCGCGTGATCAAAAGTCCTAGGTTTGATCCACACCCGCAGAGTTGTGGATGCGCACTGCTGGTGTTTCTCATAGCAGGACGGAAGAGTCGCCCAGTGTTCTGAAGTTTTTACTGATGTTCTAACACTGATCAGTTCATGATTATTTGAAGTACTCGATTACTAGGCATGTAACTGAGGATTTTATCATTCATCAATGATGTGTGAAGTTAAACAAGAACCTGAATTTTAGCGGGATTCAAAACAGTAACCTTTAATTCCTTTAAAATAAAGCACTGGACACCCGTTTCGTCCTGGTTTGGGACTCATCAGCAATGTGCATTAACGACTCCTGCACCTCACAGAAACCCAGAAGATTCAACTATTAACAGAATCGTATCGTTTTTGTTTGAAACATTCCAACCTATCAAACAATATTCAATCATTTATTGTCTAATAATCAATAAAAAGCAATATTTTTCATGAATTCATTCACTCTATGCGTAACATACTTTTTTAATTGATAAAATATCAATCCACGTTTAATAAAAGCCATAGTTTGATATTTTTTATTACCAACACATATACATAAAGTTAAATCACGTAATGATTGGAAGGGACTAGCTTTAGTGAGTAGACAACCTCGTGCAAATAATGCCTATAATAATAATAGTAATAGTAATAATAATATTAATAATAATAATAATAGATAACCAAGTCTTATAATTTACACAATATCCCTCCCTACCAAGATGACAGAAAACAGTATGTTTATCTATAAACATGTAATGTTCTCTGAGCTCAGACAACGGAACACCAACACAATCATCCACCTAAGCTACAAATTTTCTCCAACATCGCAAAATCATTTGACCGTGATACGCTTCTTGTTGGCCGCCAAAAGGCAAACTTCTATTTGAGATCAACTCTACATTCTCTATGAATATCTTCGACAAGCATGTTCTGCAAACAAGTATCAGATACACATAACCAAAACATCCAACTTCGAAGAACGAAACTCTGCCACAATCATCTACCTGAGCTACAAATTTTCTCAACCCTCTCGAGTTATTTTCGAAATAGTCCGTTTGATACTGTCACTGAATGAAAAAATTTACAGGCTCGCAGTGATTCAGATACCTTTCCCACTTCTGTACTAAATGCGATCAAGGATAAGGCTAAATAGTTCATTTATTTTTACTCTATGTCACGTTTTCATTCACACAATATCAACAGGTTAATTGACCATAATACGTCCACTGAATAGTGGTGATTACTGTTCTTCGGCACTAATAGAATTCTGTCATTCAAACTCTACTGTGATTAGTTGTCTATGTGACACTATCACGAGTGTTCTACAGTTTGGATATTAGTGTAAGTTGAAGATTTTTTCAACAATGAATCTTGAACCACAATTTCGCGTTAATGATGTTGTGTTTTAAATATTGAAAACTTTGTACGACAAAGTTTAATAAGAATTAAGGAAATTTACACATGTATGTTTGACTTTCTTTACTAGGAGATTAGTCAGTTAGTCAGTCAGTCAGATGCAACGTAGATCTTCGTACGTAAGTACATCAGTTCATGTTGCCATACCACATTAGCACAGAGATATAAATTTTCAATTCAAATCCAATAGTAGAAGAGGTAGTAAAGGTATTAGAAGTAATCGGAGAGGTTAAGATTAGAAGATATTATTCAAGAAGTATGATTCAGTGAGAAAAGTTTAGAAAGTCAAAACTACAGGTGTTGAAGAATCTAGAAGATTAGGATTTGAGAGGACAAAAAGATTAAATACACCTGCGCCATTGCAAACGGTTTTGAGTCATGTCATTCAGGGTCTCTAACCATCGATTATTATCATCTCGCGGACTCCAACCAGGTAGCCTACACCTACCGACATGACTCAGTCCACTTGTCAATGACTTCATGGATTTGTGCCATGTTTTGGTTTGGCCGCCCCCAACTTTCTTCCAACCTATTCCTACACTACAAAACAAAACTTGTCGAGGCAGTCGGTGGTTAGGCATACACAGCACATGTCCGAACCACCTCAACTGATGAAGTTTCACCACTTCATCCATTGATTTGCCCTCTTTACCTAACACTCGTTTCCTAACTAAAGCATTGCTTACTCATCTGTCCCAGAATATACGCGCAACGCTTCGGAGATTAGTAACTCTTTTAATTTTGTTTTCTTTCGTAGGTTTAATGTACTATTAGTTTAAAATTGTATGTTTTTTGATTATTATTCTTTGGAATAAGTGAATGAGATATGTTAACTTTGAATTTACCAACTTCTCATCTTGAAAAAAACATTTCTCATTGAGGTTGGTGTTGTACTGTCCTAATGTTTGTAGATATTCAGGATCCATTTTTCAAATTCCAAAACAAATTCATAAAAGCCTTCAAACTACAGTATATTGAATTCGTTAGTATTCAGCTGTGATTGTTTACTTAATGCAGAACGATGTAGTAAATAGTCTTTCAGTTCCTTCTATTCAGTTAGATAACTCACTCAGAAGTTGAATATTGTTTTTAAAAATTACATAGAATTATTACCTGGGTATAAATTGTTTTATTTATTGTATATAAAAGCTGATAGATATTTTTAAAATGTAAACTAACATGTTTGTATGTAGCATTAGGCACACATGAAATTAATTTCGTACTAGTAATAATTCTTTTAAGTTTTGTGTTAATATTTGCAGTTACTACTGAAATCCTGAATGAATCATTGTTAGACAACCAGTAGAAACCTGTAAAGAACTGTGCAGCCGTTTCGTCCTGATATGCAGGACTCATCAGCAGTGTGCAGTCACGAACACCAACTCCCTGCAGGATTCGAACCTAGGACCTTCGGTCTTCTATCATGATTTCAATAATAAACAACAATCGCCATAAAATCACAATGAAATAAAAAGTTGAATAGTTCAGTAAAACTATGAACAGAGATTTTTGGCGAGGTCCGCTACCAACCTAATAATTAAAACTTACTTTATAATAGATTGGTTGAAAGTAAAGACAAGTTGTTAGTTCAGCTAAAGCTGTGCTATATTGAAATAATTTCAGCAAACATCTAGCCAAATAATATCTTGCTTTAAAATGTGATGGATCATTGCATAGAACCATTTTAAAATAAGAAATGGCTGCTTTCCAATTACTATAGATTGAATAAGTAGAAAAAAAAGTAATTGTTAAGGGAGGGTTCTAAATAGCATTATTTTACAACATTCAGGGGAGATTGATTTCATCCTATTTAGGGTAATCCTCTGTTACGCATGCACATAAACATGTCATTTTGATAGGCTTGAATGCTATTACGAGTTTACCTTAGCCGGTGAACGATAACGAGGATCGATGGTTCGGTGACATGACAGGCTACTATAATCTGAGCGTCCCGAACCCCCATTAAGTAAAAGAAGAAGACTTGGTATGAAGTTGAACGTGACTTCTACAAACATCCAGAAAGTATGAGGTCCGAGTTCAGAAGAAGATAAGTATCCCAGACAAAGGATCCGGGTCATAAAACGTTACAGATAATGCGTATTTATACAGTTAGGTTGAATAGGAAATAACACTCAATTATGTGACATTGACAGTTAGGGCAGCCAATAAGAAACAGCATTGAAGTAAGTGACATTGATAGTTAGGACGACCATAATATTGACCAGTAGGAATTAACCAATAGGAATTGACCAATTGAATTATACTTAGGATATTGGATGAATGTCCTAACATCCTCCTACTTTTGAGTTAAGTCATTGGCATTACTGTTTCTTTCGTGCAAAAATTATCCGGAGTGAGATTCTTAAGATGCCTTATTAAGAGACTACAACATTTCAATGAAACAGATAAACGACTTTCTGACATGTTTATGAATTGAACTGTTTGAAAACAGTGAAGACAATGTGTACTAAGCATGTGATATTTCGCTTTTTTTACACGATTTCTCATTTTTATCGTCCTACTCACTGTTAATGAACTAAACTTAGGTACGTCAAAATGTGGAACCATAACTCAGCTAAAACGCATTACTTTAGAAAATTTCCAACAATGTTTTAGGCAGCCAAAGTGAAGTTGATAGAAATATATAACTGAAAATTCATACAGAAGAATAAGGTCGAGTAGTCTTTAGGTTTATGAAATAATCTTTTGAATCCATAGTTGATTTACGCATTGAACAGTTTAGTTTTTTGGTTCTCGTGAGTTTAGCTTTATGATACAAATTTAATTCTATTGAAAAGAGAAGGATGAATTAATCTTTGCAATAATTGTAGGCTCAAGGGCATATTTTAGGTCAAGTGAAACGTATCTAAAATATTTGATTTCATTCTTAGATATAGTTCAATAACCTTAATCATCAATACTGAATCAAACTTACAATTGTATCGTGAATTACTATGACAATGTGATACACAGTGTTGCGCTGACTGTTTGGTGACCTTCCTATGTTTTTACACATTTAAAATCATCAATCAATCATTGTTTGATCAGCATTAGAAACCTGGAAGCACTGGACGGCTGTTTCGTCCTGGTACGGGACTCATCAGCAGCGCGCATCCACAACTGCTTCACCTCACAGGATTCAAACCTGTGACCTTCGGTCTTGTTCACGAACGCCAATCCTATGTTTATTGATTACATTGTATGTTCATTTTTATTGTCATTTGTCGATATTAGTCTTTCTTTGTTTGCATGAATGCTCTCCGATTTGGTTATTCATTGTAAACATTGAACATGTATTAGACATATACCCTTAAACTGATTATCCGTAATTTGAAAATTATTCACTTGAAGTGATTTCACTTTTACGGAAAGAAAAACCATTCATTAAATAAGCAACATAAATGATCATAACCAATTGTATCAGTGAACGTTTCACGGAACAGTTTGTTTATTTTTACTTTTGTAACGCGCTTCTCCTGTTTGAAGGTCACACCATCTTGCTTTCACTGCTGTGCACCTTCGCTCAATAGTCTGGAACGTTTTGGTATTGTTTTGATACCACGAAATCACCAGTAAATACACTTATATCATCTAGTCGATCACATCCTCTTCTATTCGAAAAAAGACTTAGGATAACGCTTGGGACCAGAACTTAATTGGTTTATGGTCGTGTTCATAGTCTTTCGATTCGAACATCTACACACTTTCAACAAAGACTGAGTAATCGTCATTTAATAATGAGCAGATTTTTGTACTCTTGTCTACATTTATCGAATTTTTATGATCACTTATTTAGTTTGTTAGCTTACATGGATGTCAATAAATACAACTTGTATTCAACTTTTTATTTCTACGTTGTTACTAACGGGATTTTTCGGCAGAATATATATATATATATATATATATATATATATATATATATATATATATATATATATATATATGCAATAAGTAAGTAAGCAAACAAGTCAGTAAGTAGTGCTCGTCATATCTGACAAGAGGAATAATGAAAATTCCATCCACTTACTTCGAATGAAATTTGTATAAACCACATTGAAATTGAGCAGAAGATGAATTGGGATTTAAACTGAGGATTTTCATAAAATCAGCATTTGCTTGATCATACATTTTTAACTGCAACAAATAGGAAAGGTATTAACATTTATGAGAGTGACAAGTAAAAATAGTTAATGAACACATTTCCTTCCAGGTATTTTATTCATAGAACTTAAAGGAACCTATACACCAATCAATACAGATTCTAGAGTCCAAACTTTAAATTTCGCAGTTAAAGACGTTATAATTGATTCACTCTGATGACAGAAAATAGATACCATTCACATGTATCATTGGCTTTGATTGCTTCCTTAGATTTGTTTAATTCAGTTTACTTCAGATGAAGGTTTATTTGTATTTTTATAATTGTTCTTAGGAAAAAAGGAATGTATGTGATAGAGTTAAGTTAAACTAGGTTATTGTAGCTTCCTAAGGATCGTTTATTTTCAGTCGAATGTAAGATAGATGAAGTAAGCTAATTTATAATTTTTTGAAAATCCATCAGCTATTTTGATTACAAATGAGTTTTGCATTATAGTTCTATGGAGATATTCACTTCACGTTGAAATCATAAATGAATCATTGTTAGACCACCATTAGAAACCTGGAAGCACTGGACGGCCGTCTCGTCCTGGTATGGAGCTCATCAGCAGTGCGCATCTACGACTCCAGTTACTTGCTGAATTCAAACTCAGGACCTTCGGTCTTGCTCGCGAATGTTTAACCTCCGGACCAATGAGTAAGGCATCCAATGGTGTTTGTCTAATTCTAATAAATCTAAGGATTTTGCGCAAACTCATCCATTGTCTTCGGTATTCACTGCCTACACGCGATAAGGCTGAACTTCAACCGGTGGAGTCATGGATGCACACTGTTGATGAGTCTTTTACAAGAACAAAACGGCCATCCAATGCTTCCACGTCTCTAATGGTGGTCGAACAATGATTCATTCATGATTTCTATGTCCAAATGAATTGCCGACAACATTCTCTGATTTACATTGTAGAAATTACTGACGTAAAGTACTAACCACGTAAACGCCTAATAAAATATTTTAAATTGACTGCGATACATTTGAACATGAATTGCCTTGCAGCAATATATATCTAACACAGACTAATAAATATGGTTGAGAACATTGTTGAGTAAATTAAAACAACATTGAAAAATGAACGGTGATATGGCTTATTAGTATTTCCCTTTTGTTCTACCGTTCAAAAAATGTCTTCTAACTTTTATTTGAGCCATTATCGTACATGATGGCTAGACTAACACCTCACCTATATAACACATATGTGATCAACTAGTCTATTTAAATCTTCAGCGTCATCTTCATTTGAGGATCGCATCATTTCTAGTTGTCTGATTTTATAATATTTCAGCTGTACAACCTTTTCATGCCTTTATCCTTCGATGATTATGCTACTTACCAACCTGATAAACGTCTAAAAACTTTTAAACTTATAAAAATATTATTTGAAATGACATTCACATCAGGTACAGACAGAATGTTTAGAGTTTATTTTAGTTAAAGTTTACCCGAGTATGTTAAACACTAATGTAATTTCTAAATGTCAAATAACTTGTCAGAGATAAGCCATTGCGACATGCACTTTCACAGTTAATATTTAACTATGGGAATGAATGATGTCATAAACTTAACGTATATATTCAATACTGATTTACTCGAAACGTTCTGTTTTACAACATGTGTTTAGTAGAAAGCAGCATGCAGCAAGATAGGTGAAATCGAGACGCACATGAACCACTTGAAATTCGAATCCAATGGCTTAATGATTTTGGATTGTTGTAAGTGGGCTCTATTTAAACTTAAGAAATCAGAATAAATCAAGTGTGCGACTTTCCTAGTATCTCCTATAAGTTTCCAGTTGATGTTCGTTTTGTAGAGTAAGATACCATTATGTTGAATTACCACTGAATTATACTTGTTGAACAATATATCTTCGAACCCTCATCTTCTCCATTACCGCTAATACTTCCACTATCTCTACCACTATGAGATTTGAATTGCCCGTTGCATCTCTGTATGCTAATGTGGTATGGCAATGTGAACTGATGGACGTACGTACAAAGTTCTACATTATAACTGACTGAGTGTCATATTTAATAAAAATCCACCTACAATGTCATCCTGCATTCCTAATATCATTCATATATCACACCACTGTATGAAAAATCAATGTCAGTCTCTTCCAATCACTAAAACATCTCATCTGATCATTTATTCGTTACCTTAAGATAAAGATTCGCTCGTTTATGATAAGCTAATTCACATGCTGGATTACAATTGATCAACTTTGTCCAAGTTTCAATTTCCATTTGGGAATCATTTAATAAAGAATAAATAAATGCTTTTGAACTAAGAATATCTTGATACAATTGATAGGATTTCATAGTGGAACATTTTATGGCACAATGAAGATTTTCATTGTTATCCTTTGCACTGCAATCATGCGTAGTGCTAGTGAAACTTTGTATTGATTGAATGATATTGGCACATTTCATGCATTGTTCCAAATTATGCAATGCTTCTTCTGGTTCGCCTTCAAGTAAAAATATCAAATGTATATTCCAATAGGCAGATGATAATTTGGGCTCCAGTTCAATGGATTTAAGTAGATCAGCTTTAGCGTTTTTTAATCTGCCCATCTAGAAAAACAATGGAGAGATTTCAAAAACAAAAAAACTGTGAATCATAAGTGATGAAAAATCAGTAGTAGTTACGGTGTTAGATTTTCAGCCATTAAGTCACTCACTCTTTACGCAAAATACTCCGGATTCGTTGGCTAGACACTACCAGCAACAACCTACTGTGGGAGAAAACAAACCGGATTCCAGCGGAGGAGGAAATTAGGAAGAAGCGCTGGGAGTGGATACGAAATACACTGTGGAAAGCACCCGACTGTATCACAAGACAAGCCCTCAATTCGATCCCTCAAGGTAAAGTGAAAAGAGGAAGGTCAAAGAACACATAACGTCAAGAAATAGAGAAAGATATTAGAAAAATGAACAAAAATTGGACAGAACTGGCAAGGGACGCCCAGGACAGATTAGGTTGGAGAAATCTGGTCGGAGGCCTATGCTCCGTTGGGCGTAACAGACGTAAGTAAATAAGTAAGTAAGTAGGTCGTTCATTCAAATTCCACTCCATTCGCTTCAGTAACCGGCGAAGATAATCATCTTAAGATGATGTAGAAAATTCATAGGTCAGATGGATGATTGTGAAAAAGGTTCGTTTAACTCCATTTCAAAAACTTAACAAAGATGTTGTCTTCTAACATTCACTAAGAAGTTAAAATATTAGAATAATCAATTATGTTTTTCTGTGTGTTCGCATGTTATTCATTACAAAATATTCTTAGTAATCATATTCACCTATCAAATCGCTTTCGTACTATGAGATGAATCTTTCGGTTGTGGAGCTTTCGTTGTTCTTCTGAACTACAATATCATCAGCAAAAACTACAGATAATAGGAGTGAAATATTCGAAATTCTCCATGTTTGACCTGTAGCTTGTTCTGTTAACCTCGATCTTGATTGGTTACGTTTGACCTTAAATCTGTCGTTGTTTGCAGCTTTCTTTTAACTGAATCCCTCCTTTGATCTGTTT